TCCTGATCAGGACGATGAAGTAAAAGTTTATTAAATATTGGATATGTTGAAAACACCCAAGATCAAACTAACAAGACAAAAGAGTGGTTTTTTTTGCTGGTACTCCCTTTTTTAACTTAAGAATGTATTCGAGAAGGGACGGTGAAGATTTCAAGGTTTTTGCTAAACTCTGCGTAGGTGTCGCCATCTCCTGTACGCTCCGCAACAGTTCCGATAATCCATGCTGGGAAGCCATCTAATTTTTCCAGCTCTTTGCACAGAGGTTCAGCCTAATTCAGCCATAAACAGTAAAAATACAGAAAAGAAATTCTAGGGATTCAATTAACTTGGTCAATCCGTAAAAGACTTCGCTTTTATAATTAAGAATTTAATGGGACTGGGAAATCTTACATCTTTTTCCTCAACGACGATTAGCAAGCCACCGGAAGTTTCAGCAGCGCGACCGTCGTAAAGCCGGAATCCATTGCCCATCTTACGTGATATTTCCTCAGTATACTCAATAACAGGCATCTTCTCTATTACGAATTTGCAGTTTCTTCTCTGACTTTTTGCAAGGTTGTCTGCATGACCTAAAGGAAGAACAATATCAGATGAATAAAGAAAAAGCTGGATCACACACTAGATAGAAAAAAGCATAGTGCTTTAACCAGTAAAAAGAAAGATTGGTTGTCGTACCGATAAGACCAAACCCGGTGACGTCTGTAGACGCGTGGGCGTGATATTTCCTCGCTAACTCAGCCGCATTTCGATTCAAACGGCACATTTGTTCGACAGTTTGCTGGTACGCACGACGAATCTTCTTCTCATCCAAATTTAGGTCCTTCACTTTAGGATTGTTCCTTTTCAACCATTCAAATGAATTTACTGCAACTTGTCCACCAACTGGCTAAAATGATACAGTCTATATGCAAAAGCTCTTCGCTGCTGAGGCACTTACTTTTGTCAGTACAATTTTGTCACCCGGTTGCGCGTCTTGTAATTTGCTCATATCTTTTCTGGAACAGACTGCTGTCCCCACGCCACCTAGTAGGAGCCACGGGCACTTCACGGTTTGTCCACCGCGAATTGTAGTACCAACTTCAGCTGCAGTTTGCTGCAAATGCACTAATATATGGAAAAAGCCAAGTTAGCGATATAAATATGAAAAAGAATTTTGCAACATATAAGCCTGATTATTCAAGCTTTTTAAGTCAAACGCATCTTCACATTCTGTAACGGTAGCTTTGAAGGTGGCTACTAAAATAAAAATGAAGTAAAGGGTAACGATAAATTAAAAGTAAACCCAGTCACAAAACCTTGAATCCATCTAAAAACATCGCTATAACAATTTCTCGAACTTTAACATCCATATCTCGAGGTATTCCTAATAAAGTAAGCATATTGTCACATATGGAAACTCCGCAAGCGTAAAGGTCGCTGAGAACATTTGCACAAGTAATCCTCCCCTAGAATAAATTTTACTGGAAAGTCATAAAATACAACTACCAGAACAATCATGTTTATAATATTCATAACCAAACATGGAGCTGAAACGCAAATTAGAAAATCAACATATTTCCCTCTTCTAACAGCAGATTATCTATGGTAGTAATTCCTACGCGAATTAAAAAATTTTTTTGGAGTAGAAGAAGTGAACTTTCAACCTCTTTTACATCGTCTAAAAAAGTTTCTTTGTAATGGAACAGTTATTCAGCCAAAACGTGGCCAGTTATGAAAAACCCCAACAATTCAAGAATCTTTCCATTCCATTAAAACAAAGTCCATTAGTGGGAATACCATTAGAAATGGATCATCGACCAGCGGGTAAAAAAAGTCTGTTGTTTGCACTAACCACAATCCTTCATGCCGTAATGGAATAATACAACTGTCCAAGCCGATCCCTAAAAAAAGTACAGGTAGCCAAAAAGCAGGAAATTTAAACACTTCAAAAAACAATCTCCCCATATAATCATGAAGGTTTAATGGGCTCAGAGAGAAGATTAGTCATTGCTCATTCGACTACAACCAAACTTGGAGAAAATTCCAAGGCAGTCTTCACAAAAATTTCTTCATCATCGCCCAGCAAAAAAAGTACAAGTGAATGTTTTTTTTTTAAAGATAAGACCGTAAAACTTTATTGTTAAAAGTTGATAACATTAAATATAAAGCCAACCTATTTCACTGTCTCCAGCTGGCTGCTCCTCAATACATTTCAATAAGCCACGTAAATCCTAGAAAATAAATGGATTACCGCAAATATATACTTTTACAAGCAATATTTAAAAAATAAATATGAATCGTCTCTTGAGACCCCACCAATAATTGGGCAAAACATAAATGTTTTTCGTATAAATCGCAGCTCGAGCAATTTAACTATGGGAAATAAATCATATTAAACGAGATAAAACCTATCAATGAAATTGTTCAATGGAAGAAAACTAACCTCTTGTGCTACCTTACAACCGCAACCTTTCAATTCCGTCAAATTTGTGAGCAAAAAATCTACGGGCAAATTATGCTTAACGGGATCAAAGCCTTCCAAAATTCGCTTAATTATTTCCTTGTTCATGTTCTCTCTATTCTTATCTGACAAAAAACATCACATACAATACCAAACAACCAGACTTCAAGACCGTCCTCCATGCCGCAGCGAAATGTCATGTAATGAAGGTGAAAAAAGCAAAGCGAAAGTAATATCTGCATTTGAACAGGCAGACTTTGTACTTAAATAATCTTCGAGTACACAGATCAATGCCTTTACAATGTTCGGGACTATCACTTTCGCTGTTCTGTTTATTGGTCGACCTACGGAATTATAGATATTTGCCCCGAGACTTTTACGAAGTTGTGTATAGCAGCACTCGAGTTTTTCTTGACATGCCCTTGCTTCAAGAATCATCGTCAATCATTATATAAAGCTTATTTACCCGCAAAGTTTATTGAGATGCCGTGGAAAATGTACAGAAGGTAAAGCTAAAAATCCTCTCTCCCTTAATAGCAATTTATTTTAAACTATAACTCATAGCCTGTATTCTGAAAGATAAAGAAAAAAAAGGAAAAATAGAAATACCGTGTGATTAAAAAAAAAAAAAGAGAATTACTGGGAGCGTCAAGCAGATGCGAAAATATTGGAAACTAAAATGGAGTAGAATGGACCAGTAGCGAGCCCTTTTTTGGCTACCACCAATATTTTGGACATTGAGCCAATTTAATAAGGAAAACGTGTTTCCTGCCAACTTCCACCACTTACTTTAAGACCTTCTGCAGCTGAGCCACTTCCAAATGATCATTTTTTGCCCTTAAAAAAATGTATTCAATGCGTAAGACAGTGAGAAGAGTAAAGTAGAAAAAATCTAACGACTGGGGCAGGCAAATACAGTTCAAAAACAAGTATTTTTTTTTCTTTTTGGAAAATTTTCTACCAAAGCTGGTAGCGAAAGAAATGATTTTTAAAGCAGCTGAAACCAACTCATAATTACTTAGCGTCAGCCTAAAAACTTAGCTCCACCATTTGAAGTACGAAGCAGTCGGTTGCGATTTTAAACGATGGAGAAGTTTAAGGGAAATAGCTCAGAAAACAAACATTGAATCAACCACAAATAAAAGTGCTACACCGCGAAATACAAAGATATTCGAAACTTCCCAAAACAAAATGATCAGTACCAGCGAAGAGTGGAGAGAAAAAAGTAATTACATATTTCTCTTTATTTCTCCACACAATCTTAAAACGGAGGAAATTTATTCACCTCATATGAAAAAAAGGTATGATTTGTAAGTATATTAAGATAAACGAGGAACTTTTTCGATTGAGTAATGAGTAAAAGTTGAATTTTTAACACTGTAAATGTAAACAGAGTTTTGAAAACAAGAGAAATAAGAATCAAGTAAAAAATATTTCTAGAAGCCTCTAAGTTATTTCAAATAACTGAGCGTTTCAGATCACTGATAACAAAGACATCTTTTTTTTCTTTTTTGTTTTAAATTCAAGTCTGTAAGGAGCTCTTTTCGCCTAGACAAATTTTTTCGCATCATTAAACTCAAATTTTTGAACTAGCAACTACCGAACTCAAAGCTAGTAGCCTTTTTTTGCAGTTTAAAGAACAGAAGTGATTCGGAAGAAAATACGGACAACATACGCGCAAATTTGAACGGAAAGATGAAATTGAAGGAGAAAAGAGAAAATGCGCTAGCATTCAAATATACTCTTTGGTAGCCTGGTGTCGTTTACCTAACAACCACCATCTAGATGAAGCAATCGACTGAAGTAAAAAAAAAAGTCATTTGATTGGTACAACAAGTCTGCTACGAACACCTAAAGCATCGCCTAGTGAACTTTGTCCTTCCGCATTAGCAACACCCCAGCGACTTTAACGCATTTGCTTACTCAAGCGACATTGACAACGTATTATGCCTTTGCTGTCGTTTGCATTGTCCTTTCAACGAATAACTGGTTGAAATTCACAACAACAAGACGAGAATCTGCCTAATGGTGCTCTGATTAGTTGAAGAAGTCCAGACATTCAGATTTTTAAATAATGGCTGAAGTTATTCATAGGTTACTGTAAGTGAGCCTACTTCAGCATCTACAAATTCTAATAAATCAACAGCTGTAGGATAGAAAAGAGTGACCAGAGGTTACCATCAGCAATTTTTTTAGCCGTCACTGTCTGTCACTGCCACCACTGAAAGATTTTATTCATGGCGGGACTTGTACCAATTACAGTCATTTTTTGATACATCTGTCTTGTTTAGTAGACAGCAAGAATACTTCTGCGAGCAGGTGAATGCTGGAGAAGCTAATTGAAAATCGGAATTTGAAGCGTAGAATTTTTTTAAAGGACCTATATTAGCGCTAGTAAAATTTACACAATTCGTTTACAGAACAGTTTCACATCTTTTTGGCTAGTTCAATAATATAAATTATAAAATTCTATCAAGTTATAGAAGATAACTAACAACTACGCTCAGATGTTCATTCGCAGTGACGTTTGATATAAGTTCAACGTCATAATAAATAAGATGATTTTCGATTTTAAAAAAAGCTGACGAATTTACAGATAATTTTGGAATATCAATGTTTATTTCAATTTTATGAAACGTTCGAACAAACGGAGTTTTATAGAATATTCTACCAGGCGTTTGTTGGTAAAATTTGAATCAAAGAACAAAAATGAAGGTCTGGCAGAAGAAGATTTGAGCATTGTTAAGGCATAGATCTATAGCTTTTTTTGTGTAGGACTTCTCAGTTTCTACTGTCGCAGATTCAGAATTATTTGGGCTTGTTATACATCAAAACTACCTGTCGGGATTTTGGTTGTGGTAAATGCAGGAATTTCTGAATAAAATGGTGATTTTTTTTTAAAATTCTGAATTTCCTGTTAAAAGCCACCAGTTTTCTTTTTTTTTTGGTAATTTTCTTCTCTTATTGAATTACCTTGTTAGAGTGCATAGCGATCGGTCAACTAAAAGACAGCATTGACTGTATCATTTATTGACATTTGAATTGAAATTTTTTCAGATAGCGGCAGCTGACAGAGCCTCTTGGGAGCAACAATTAAATCGTCCATATGTTTTGAAATATTCCTCAGTCGTTCTTCCGCTTCTAAAAATACTCTATGAATCGAAATATCAGACAAAATTACTGGAGTTGTAATTAACGTTCTGTAAATTCGGTGATCATGATAGAGAAACTTTTAGGTGGTTACAAATTTTATCATCCTTCTCTTAATTCAGCTTGTTAGCAGAAGAAGCAACTGTGTTTTCCTGAACTTTCACATTTTCTGTAGTTCCTGCTTTTTTTTTTTAAATTCCGAAATATCAAACATTATTGTCGTTAACAGTTGATTCAACCTGGTATTAATTTTTGAAACTAATAGCAAATCAGCTTTGCAATGCAAAAAAAAAAAAAAAAAAAAAAAATTTCGGGTTTTTAGTTCTTAATTTACAGGTCAGAAACAATTCTAAAGAGACCGTTTAAGAAACGGTAATTACAAACCAAGTATTTTTTGCCAGAGATCATCGCAACGGTTCAGCTTACTGTTCGCTGCTTACTTTTCCATCTCGCTCGACAACTTTTTTACAGAACTGTTGATCTGAACTGTTGTAGTCACATGTAGGTTCTAATCTTTATTTATCATCAGTCCTTGCATGCTTGGAACATCCTGCTTTTATCGTGCATAAAAAGACTGAGATTGACAAGGTATCAGAGGTTTGTAGATGCTCAGTGAGCAGTAACGCTCCATCATTGATACTGTTCCCACTACAATACTGATTTTAGTTTCAATCTGTAGCAAATAACTTATCGAATCAAAAGGTTCAAACAGACTGTCCAATGGCATACAAATGTTGACAGTTCTTTTCTAGAACCTATAAAATGAACAATGAAGAAACAGCTGTGTTTTCTCAAAATTTACTTGACCACTTGTAAGTTTTCCTGGCAACAGTTGCTACCTTGCAGTGGTTACATATTTTCAAAATTTAAACTAATTTATTAATTTTTATTTTCAAACTTAAATTTTAAAATTTTTAACCAAATTTTTGAAGGCTTTTTTCTAAGCGCTTATAAAACAACAGCTTTCTTGCAAATTCAATTATCATATAAAGGTTAAACATCTGTTTGGCTATAATAAATTGTTTGAGAATAAACTTAGATGATTATTAGTCATTGAGCAGTTTTGCTAAAAACATTTTTACTTTTTAGACTAGTTTGATGATTGTTCCTGGCCTTCTTTTACAAAACTAGAAAAGTTTTCAGAAACTAGTGATGTTTGGTAGTTTTAACAGAATGATCTGAAGAACTGATTTGTAATATGGAAAGTATCTAGCATTCTAATAGTGCTTGATCGTTAGTCGCTTAAGAATAACCACTAAATCTAGTAAGTAAACTGCTCAAACAGTGATTTAAGTCATAAGCCAGCTGTTGCTGTATGTACTAATTTTCTAATAACTTTTAAATATTAGAAAACATTCGCTTAGCTTTTTTGTTAATTTGTCAAGTTGAAACTATTTTCCAATTACCAGAGAATATTAGTAAAAAAAACATTCAGAAACGAAAGAATATTAACACCTGTTTACAGCAACAATGTAAAAGTAGGTTTTTTTCCTAGAATAAGTTAAATCTAACACCTGCTTTATCTATCTTTTACTTTATCAGTCGGTTCAGACGACATGCACATTTATTTAGCTATATGTTAAAAAATATTTGATAGTTTAGTGAAATAAATACCTTCTTACTTGGTTGCAAGGCGTTGCAGTACAACTAAAACTTTATCTACGCATTTGTAGACAACGTTTGCTGTTGAGCCGTTGGAAGGAGTAATTGAAATATTTAGTGTTTTAAATTAGCTGTGTTATATTATGAACAGCAAAAAGCCAGTCGAGTATTACTTCAACTGTACCGGTTGTGTATCAATCACCTTAAACAAATTTAGGTTACTAAAGGTACAGAAAAGAGACTCATTAGAACATATTATCTGAAGAAAAAAAAAAGTAAAAATTTTTGAAAAACTTTTTTTTTTTTACAGTTTTTACAGCTTCAGTTTTGATAATTTCTTCTGCTTATCAAGTCTC